AATGTTCAAATACTCCGTTTCAATAGTACAGCCACAAGACATAAACAATATGCTTGCTAACATTATTTAGTGTGAGAAAAATGCTTAATACCCATTTCTGTGTGAAATTTTATTCAGTTTTATTTATCGTATTTATCCAGTCATATTTATTCATAATTTTATCGATTTTTAAAAATAAAAACCCTAAACCTTAAACATCATGAAAAATCACGATTTAAACAGCTTTACAGCTCAAATAATCCACAATAGTTTACAGAAGAATGTGCTATTATAACATTTTTCATTTAGATCTCATATAAATTATATAGATAGATAGATAGACAGACAGACAGACAGACAGACTGATAGACAGACAGACAGACAGACAGACTGAATGATTAAGAATCAAGATCCTTTGTTGTGGTAATCAACATTATGCTTCAGATGCTGTCAACTGAGCTTAACTTGTATTAAACCCAGAATATTTCTTTTAATTTTCAATTTTCAGATTTCATTTCAATTTAAGTTTTATTTTAGCTGTGGTTTTGTCACTTAGATTTTTTTTTTTTAAATATGTCTATGTAATATTTATTAATTTTTATTTTAGTTTTAGTTATTTTAGTAGATCAAATTAAACTTAATTGAAAAATGAGAAAAGTTGCTTTGGCAAATGTGTGAAATAAAATAAGTTTAAGTATATATGTGTATTTATAAGTTATATGCATATTTGTTTTATTTCATTTCAGTTAAAGTTTATTTTATTTCAAGTAATGAAAATATTTTATGTTTAAGGTTTTTAGACTGTAGTTTACTATAATAACCCTGGCGTAGTATGTGATGCACAGGTTTTTAGCATATGTGCTGAATCAGTCTTGAGTGGGTTGCTGTTGTAGACTGCGGGGTCGTGTTTTGCAGTTGATAACCCAGCTGGACACCAAGACACCCTGCCATTTTAAGTCAATAGCATAACATTCTCTCTCTCCTCATTCTCTTTTGCAGTTTGTCACTCACAGCTTGCAGTCACACAATCAGACAGAAAGACAGATGCTGTCACTTTTTCTCTCATACATTCAAGCCACCAAAGCCTTTTCTCTATCCATTATGTTTTTTCATTCTGAAAAATAAAGGTTCTTTATTGGCATTGATGGTTCCATGAAGAATCTTTAACATCAACAGAACCTTTACATTCAACAATAGGTTCTTTATAGTGGTAAACGGTTCTCCACACTAAAAAAAAAAAGGATGTTTTAAGAACTGTTAACTGAAAGAGTGTTTGAGAAACCCAAAATCGTTCTTCTATTGCATCACAACAAAACCCCTTATTTGGAACCTTTATTTTTAATAGTGTGTAGTGAAGTCTTTCACTCTATTTTTTATATAGAGAATAACTGTCACAGAGGATTGGGTGAGCCATCATCATTTGAGCGGCTTTCAATGATTTGCTGAGGGCTGCTGATTTGCGCAGCTGCACTGGAGCTAAACTTGGCTCCAGCTGGTAAGAAAAAAGGAAACACAAGGCCCGAATTGGCTGCTTGTATTTAAGAGGCAGAGCAGGTGTCTGTTGTTGTGAGGTGAAAGGTCACAGTGACGTATTTGCACACTGACGCAACTTGTGTCTGTGGCGACATTTCTGCTAAATTATATTACATTGCTTCTTACGAGTTTCGTGGTGCTTTCAACGTGAAATGTCCAGTGGGTGACACTAAAAGTGTGTTCAGTTTTATCCAAAACATATGAACGTGAATCCGGCGATGTGTTATTATGTTGGTTGTTGTTCGTATCGCCACAGTTCGAAAATTAAATGTCCAGTGAGTGGCGCTAAAGGGTTTATGCTCTGTTGCATTTGAAAAGAATATACCACCTGCACTAAACCTTACGTTAAACCTAACCCATATTGTTAACACAAGCGAATGTAAGATAAAAATGCATTTGCTGAAGCTACTGTGTAATTTTAGATTGCTTCTAGAAGTCTTGTAGCTCTTTTATTGTGATTCGTGTTTCTAGGACTCGCACCCGAGGGCTTTGTGTCTCAAGTGCAATGATGCATCGGGTGTGCAATCGAGCGAGTTTACTTCGTCAGAAAAGCCATATGTATGGAGCTGGTTATTTGATGCAAATGTCAAAATGTGTTAGTTTACAAATCATGCACTATGTTAAAAATGTTTTGAGGTCATAAAAGAGTATTGTGCAGGAAATATGCGCTTTAAAAAATTTTTTTTTTTTAAAGCGCATAAAAATAAGTATTTTTTTTAATCAATAATCTGCCCCTGTAATCATAATTTGTGTGAAAAGGAATAAAATGTGTTGGTGTTTTACTGCCACTAGTGTTCATTTCAGCTGAAAACTGCAGTGACTTGTATTCATAGGTACATTTTTGGAGTTTTGCACAACTTTTTCCAATGAACCTATTGCTGCGTTCAAGTCCTCCTGGGACGTTCGTACTTACGAGTTGACAAGTCGTAATTATGACGTCTACTGCAGTGACTTGTATTCATATGTACATTTTTGGAGTTTTGCACAACTTTTTCCAATGAACCTATTGCTGCGTTCAAGTCCTCCTGGGACATTCGTACTTACGAGTTGACAAGTCGTAATTATGACGTCTGGTAGACGTTGCATCCATCGATTCCGCCATGTTTCTCACTGACACGCCCCCAACTCGGAAACTCGGGGCTTAAAGAAAATGTTGAGTTTCCCACTCGTAATAACGACTTTGTGGTGGCGTTCATGTGCGTTCAACTCGTAAATACGATCTATCCGACATGACTTGAACGCACCATAAGTTGCACTGACAAATGGTAAATACATGAGGACCACAAAAAAATGAAAATTGAGAACAAGTGTGAAAGTTTCCATTATCCTAGCATTTTCCGTTATTTGATTTGTCTTAAAATCGTTCACTTGCTCTGCCATCTTATTTACACACTTTCTCTATTTTTGTTGGAGTCAAGCACCGTCTTATATGTGCGTCTTTCTCACAGAACCCCAAGACGTTCCCTCTGGGATAGGGAAATGGAGTATTTTTAGCAGTTGCACTTCTGTTGCTTGTCATCTCTTTGGTCCCTCCTTTTTTTCCATATTTCCTAAATCAAGTCCATGGGAAAGATATATCCTCCACCCAGTTTCTCACTTTCACTCTGTTGCCATTGGCTTCCTGCCGCTGCTCGTCAACAATTCACTGCCCTAGGGAAGACGTTGCCATAGTAACTGCCTTCGCTGAGGCAGCTCGTCAGGATGTTCATCTGAGGCGGGTTTTTCAATGCGATTTTGCGATTTACATAGAGCCAAAACATGTCTTTTGACACTGGGCTACAGAAGAGGATGGAACGATGACAAAAAAGAGGAAGGAAAAGGAAATGGAGGATAGAGAGAGTGAGATAGCAAAGAGGAAAAAAAGACGAGCAATGAGAGAATACAATAAAAAGAAACCATTGTAAATAACTAAGGAGGGGTGAAGAAGTTTTTGTCTGGATGTAAAGGGAAAAACAGAAAATTATTCCTGTGCGTGTGTTTGTTTTTGTTAGTGGAAAATGTTATTGCTCAGAGTCAAAGGTTGCTCTTTTAGGAGACGTGATGGTACTTTAGTGAAACACAACTGAGAACTTCAACTTGTCTTTTCTAAAATATCTTAGAATATTTTTTTTTAAAGAAAAAATTAGTCAATTGACATGCTATAAAATTAATTTGGATAGTAGCAACATCGTCCCATGAGTATTATTTTACGTAAAATTTGGTTCACATACATTTACGTACATTCACATACATTTACTTACATTTGCATAGACACTAAAACATACAATACTAACGTATTGACAGCATCTAAAATTTAAATTATATTTAATCTATGGATATTTCATTAATGAAATAAATAGGCTGATTCTGTTGTATTTCTGAGATTATGTTTCAGTTGCATTTATTATACGCAGGTGGCTTGTTAAGTGAAGTTGCTTTACTTAATTTGAAATTATAACATTTAACATTATAACATATAATATTTTCTGTGTGGCTTTTTCCAAGTCATTTCAAATGCTAAAATTAATTTAAATAAGACTACACTTTAAATTAAGAAAAAAAATTATATAAAATAGAAATTCTGGTAATCATTCAACCACTACTTATGTAATATTTATTTTGTTTGTCATGAGACACTGCATTTTTCTGAATATCTTGTGAATAAAAACAACCATAAAATGAATCACAAATGCACAATAAAATAATCATGAAAGTAATCTATTTTATTCTTGGGCTGCAATCCAAATTTTTAGAATATATTTGATTGAGGAACAAATGAATAATAATAATAATAATAATAATAATAATAATAATAAATATTGAATGAAAGATAGGAGAGGGATTATCAAAGTAAAATTATTGTCACTGTACTTATTATTATTATTTTTAAGTGGTTTTGTTTAGGTTTCAGGAAATGTTTAAGAGACCTAAAATATATCTATAAAACTGTTAAATGTACTTATATAAATATATTTATGAAATAAAAGATTTGTAAATATTTTACATTTCTATAGCTGTATATACATAATACTTATTGCATTTTAGATGCTGCCATTATGTCCATATTGTTCTTAACAAAGTACAAAGATACATAAGAATATCTACATATAAACAGAGTCCAGGCTCAGATAATGTTGGTCTTTAATGAGAATTTGATGGGAATTATTTGAGATCAGATTGAAATCTCTTACTTTTGAAAAGTCTTCTATTTGTGTTTGTGTTTAGGCACAAATTCCTGGGGTAACGTAATCTAGAGAGTGGGTCTATAGTGTGTATGTTTTCATATGAGTGTAGAAGGGAGGCTTCAGCAGCACGGTGATGGGTTGCTATAAATAGAATTGGGTTCTGTCTTCACTGAAGTTCACATTCCTCTGTATATTTTACTTGAACATTGGTGTCATACATGCAACTATCCCACCACACATTCAGCAAAATTGGTTTTGAAAATCCAGCAAGCACAATTGTTTCTGATGATTCCATGTCCAAACCATGTGGTGTTTTCCCATTAGCAATTCATGAGTTCCCTGAGGACATCTTCACCAAAGAGCAGCGCAAGAGAGGAGCCGTACTACTGCATGTGCTCTGTGTGAGTGACACTCCATCCATCCATCTATCTATCTATCTATCTATCTA